CAGGAATCTGTTCCCTTGTCTCCATGCTGTCTTCATTTTCAGGCAGGGTCTTCTTCCCTAGGGTCCCTCAGCTGCTTCACGCTTCCCTCGACCCAGTTTCAAGAGAGTGCCTCTCTCTAGGTTCCTCCAGTCCAAAGCCCCAAGGATCAACTGCTATTGGTTCTGATGAGGTTGTGTACCCCTCCCTAGACCTACCCAGGGGCCAGGAGAATATGATGCTTTGATTGGCCAGGCCAGGGTCACATTTCAGTCCCCAGAACTGAGTAGAACGGGCTCCCCTGAACTGATCTAGGAGGTGGGACTCGCAAATGTTGACTGCTTGGCTCTCTGAGGATGACGGACAACCTGAAAGCCCCTTTATGTTGCAGAACTGGAGAGCCCAGCTGAGAGGGTGCACCAGATCCAACAAATCCTCATCACCCTTCCCCGCGTGGTCATCGTGGTCATGAGATATCTCTTCGCTTTCCTCAACCAGTGAGTTGTCCAGCTGGGGGCAAGGGGTGAGGGGGAGGAAGAGGGACACGCGCCTTTTTGACTCAGGGGATCCCGAGACCTTTGCAGGTACAGCTGTTCTTAGAACATGGAACCTTCCCAGATTTGAGTGGAGCCTTCAAGAGAAAGAAATCACAGGGGGAGGCTTCGCCTTTCCCAGGTGACCTGTGGGTGCCTCCTCTCTTACAGCCTCTCGCAGTACAGTGACGAGAACATGATGGATCCCTACAACCTGGCCATCTGCTTCGGGCCCACCCTCATGCACATTCCTGATGGGCAGGACCCTGTGTCCTGCCAGGCACACGTCAACGAAGTCATCAAAACCATCATCATCCATCATGAAGCCATCTTTCCCAGCCCCCGGGAGCTAGAAGGACCCGTGTATGAAAAATGCATGGCTGGAGGGGAAGAGTATTGGTAAGATTCCATTCCTCTTCATATTATTATCCCATTCCTTTTAATACTATTATTATCATGTTGTTACTGTTGTTACTGTTGAACGGGAACAGTAAGAAACCCTTTAATTTTCTTACTGCTTTATAGTCTGTACTCTCATCTGAGCTTCACAGCAGCCTGACATGAGATAGATACATCAGTCCAGACTCTATTAATTTATAAGGGACAGGAATAGAACTCAAAGTGGTTTAAACTAAATGGGATGTATTGGTTTACTTAAAAAGTCTGGATCATGGCATCAGGTATAGCTAGATCCAGGGGTTCGACTGTTAGCATCAGGACTCGGTCCTGCCACCCTCAGCCTGTGGCTCCTCTTTCTTCCATGTTGGCCTCATTCTCAGGCAGCCTTTTTCCTGGTGGTTTCAAGAAGGCGTCGGTAACTCCAGATTTAGAGCCCATTCTCTCAACTTCCCCAGTGGAAAAAGAGCTCCTCCTACCCAAATGTTCCACCACAAGCCCAAAAGTGATGTCTCCTTGCGGGGGCTTGAGTCTGGTGAACTAATCACATTGGTTAGCAGATCCAGTGCTGTCCTTGGCCAGGTGAGTTGTAAGTCCATCTCAGGCAGCAGGGAAGTGGATAATCTCCACCTCAAACTCACGAACTGAGAGAGTGACACTCCCTGCCATTGTCCCCATCCACCAGGAGGCCTCTTTTCCAGCAAAGTGAATCCAGTCTTTGAGAGCTCCACACCAGGTCAAGAGCTGCTAGTTGGGCACTTACACTGGGTCAGGGGAGAAATATGTCAGAATCTTATCAAAATCAGGGGCCAACTACCTTCCCCAGGCTGAGACCTTAAATGTGGTAAGACAGGAAATTTATTTTTAATGTGGAAAAGACAGGAGATTCAGAACACTGGCTGACAGAGACCAGTCAAAGGGTTGGCACTCTTTCTTTATCCCCAACCCAGGACAATACACAGCTATATATTTAGCATTGCCTGCACTGCTCTGAGCCAGGTGCCTGCAGGAATTTGTCTTTTGATTGTCAAAGCATTCCTGGATTCTTGAATCGCTTTAGTTCTGAAGGCATATTTGGGCAACTGCTTCAAAGAAGGGAACTGTTCCAGCCCATTTCCCCATTACACTTCCCTGCACAGAAGGACAGGCCCTGGTATTGTCTAATCGCAGCTCTCTAATCTCCTGCGAGGCCCCAGGAGCAAGTCTGTCCCTGCTCTGTTATAGATACATTGAAGAACCAGCAAGCAGACTTTTTGGACAGAGAAGCTTTTCAAGTTTTTGTACCATTACCAGTTCTCTGTTCTTGTTGCAATATATATATATATATATA